TTGTAGAGAGAGAGAGAGAGAGAGAGAGAGGAAGAGAAAGAAGGAGAGAAGGAGAGAAACAGTGAGAAAGGGGAGGGCGAAAGAAAGAGAGGACAATATTTACTTCCTTCGAAAATATTACTCAATCTTTTGCCAGGATGGAAAATAATAGCATGGGGAAAAGCGATCATCCGAAAAGCGCACTTGTTTTTTTTTTTTCTCTCTTTTAAATTTGATTTCTTTTTTTCATTTCGAATTATCGTTTATGAAACATTACGAGCTGAAATTTATGTAATACCTGGAAATTTTTATCAAATATTGAAATTTTTCCGTCGATCGAAGTATTTTCCATTTTTCTTTCTTTCTCTCTCTCTCTCTCTCTCTTCCTGTCTTTGCTTTTATTCAACCACCTATTTTTTTTTCTTTCCATTTCATATTGTATGATAATATAATACAAATAATATATGAATGGAACCTGATAAACGGTAAACCGGAATGAAATATCAGGCTTATTGAAGAGCAATTATGTAGCTTATATATCATAAAATATAAAACTTTTATTACTCGAAATATCTTGCTTCTTTTACCTGATATTCAATATAATCGAATTAATTGGTTGAATTGAATTCAAAATAAATTCAAATATTTAGATTTATTTAAGTGAATGAACTTTATGTTCATACAACAATGTACGATGGAAAATGAAATGGTTTAGTTTTCAGGTAAATTGCCATCCTTCCGGATGACATGTAATAATTACCACTGGATATCTTTGTGAAGTATATTTGATTCATATTTCTTGTAATTCGAATTCGTTCACTGGAATATCATAAAACTTTTGATAGCAAAAGTGTCAAATAATTTCTGTTTTTTAATTGATTCTATTAATCCGACAGATATAATAATTAAAATTTAATGAATGCCTTAAACTGATTTCCTTCCTTTTTGAAATTTAAAGAATGCCTTAAACTGACTTCCTTCTTCCTTTCATTTTTCTTCCCTTGATTAATCCGTAAATCGGAAAAGAAAAAACTATCACATACCAATCATTTCCCTTCTTTTAATTAATCCATAAAGAACTAAGCAAATACTGATCATTTTTTTTTTCTCGTGATTAATTCATAAACCGGAAAATGAACAATCATTTAAATTGAAAGAGAAAAATTCAAATCTAAATACAAATCTTCTTACTTACTTTCACTTTTACAAGTAAAGAAATCTGCAAACGTAAAGCAAATGATTATCAAAAGGAAAAAAAAAAAAAAGAAACAAAAGAAGACCAAACAAATGAAACTGAAAGAATTTAAGTGAAAATTTCAAACTCTACACAATGAAATGACATTAAAACAAGCCATATACTTCATTTTGTTTTACAGGATAAAATAAATAATAGCCTGAAATACTTCCCCTGGCTTTTAATGTAACAAATTTTAACAGCATCAAGCCAACATTCCGTTATGATTTATTCTGGCTCAAAATGTATTGAAGAACAAACAGATTAGAGATTGTATTATAATTTTTTTTTTTTTTTTTAATGATTATAAAGAATGCATTATAATTTCAAGAAATTTCTTCAAAAATTGACTATTTCCTTTTTTTTTTTGGTACAATGAAATGAAATTAATGATATTAGACATTTCAAATTTTTTAAATCTAAATAATATTTATAAATCATGATGACTTATATCTGATCCTTATTGATGACTCAGTAAACCGGAAATAGTAAAATCTAAAGGCGGAAAATATCCATCCTGAATCGGTCAACCATTGAAAACTGAAAACTGGGAAAGAAACTTTTCGAACAATCTTTTTAAAATTTATTTCTTTTTTTAATTCTGAAAAAAATAATTTAATAACTTCCATTTTTCTGAATAATTTTTGATACCACTTTTGGGATAATCTTTAAGAAAGTTTTTCGTTTCTCAATTTCGAAAAAATAATTTGAAAAAGTTCTAATTCCATAATTAATTTTAAATATTAAACAATTACAACTGCAGCAATTTCGATTAATTTTGTTTGTTATTAAAAGATGAATTTTATATTTTTGTATTCGTTTTCTTTCATTATTGTTATTTATTTATTTCATTTTTTTTATAATTTCAGTTTATTTCTTTCTTTTCCATATATTTAAATTTCGATAAATTTTACACCACTATATATAATATATAATAATTAAACCAATGGGATAATTAATTAATCGTCATTTAAAATTTAACATGAAGCATAACAGAAATATGATAATGTAGAAGAAACAGCAGAAGATATGATGATATGATGATATCAAATATGATATGTGGGGGGGGGGGGAAAAAAAAAATGATATTGTAAGAAAACAATATTTAACGATAATCGTATAGATTTTTAATATTGCAACAGAAATATGATAATTTAACACTTAATCAAAAACATATTAGAAATAATATTTGAGCAAAGAATTGAATTCAAAAAAAAAAAATTTACATCATTTCGGAATAATTCATAAGTTGATATGAATTTAAATTTTAAATGATAACAATTATAATATTATGTCCAATTATATAATT